AGCTTGCGTCCCGATGAACCCCTTATTCTTGCTTCGCCCTTCATCTCGTCCCTTGTGTTCGAAAACGAAGCGAGCGATGCGCGGGATCACTGTGCGAACGAAAGAAGTAAGATCCATCCAGTTCACTTTGCCCTGTGGCGCGGTGGCTCACAAGGTGTCCATCGCGGTATCTAGATTTCCTCTCATGGCTGCGGCTCTCCATTTATATGTGCATCGTATCAGTGGCGATAATTCTGAGCTTCCAGCTCAAGTCGGAGCCTTCTACGGCTGAGCGGAGGATGGCGCTGCCGCTGGGCCTCATCTTTTGGGCCTTGAGCTTGGTCTGCCTCGGCGCTGGTCTGGCCAATTATCTACAAACGCAAGGTCCTAGGGCGGTCGCGTTAAACAAGAGTGTTGCTGAAGAGCGAGTAGGATCCAGAAATACAGTCGAAGGGCGGCTTTGGTCCAGTCGGGGACTAAAACGCAGGCCGTGAGTGCTCTGCTGTTGCTGTGGCTGTGTTTTGCTGTGTTCTGACGGGATGCAGGTTTTTTTTGTGGTGAGCATTGCGATCGTTGGAGCCTGTGTAATCTTCATCACCACGAATGCCCAAAGATGAGCTGGACGAGTGAGAGGGAGCAGACTAAGTAGAGGGTCGACGGGTCATATTCAAAAATAGTGGGGTATAATGTTTGTTAGAGTTCTTCGCAGTGATCTTCTTTGGCGGCGGCAATCGATCTGTGCTCCGTATTTTCCGCCGCTTGCTTAGTTGACCACAACCCTAACCAACGAGCTTCAATACCATCCACACACGCCGCGCCCCTCCACCTCCCAAAACACCCTCTATGTCTTTCACTCAAGCCTCCCACAGCCCCCATCAGCTTCACTACCACAACAGCAAGAGAAGAAGTAAAAAGCGGGTGCGAAGAGAGCAATCTCCTCCTTCTACTGGACCAAGCCCGATTGGCGAAGATATCTCACAGGATGACTGTGCTGAAGCTGTCAACCGCTGGGATGCTCTTCCTACTCAAATTATTGAAGCGGAGGCCGCTGCCAGGGAGACAAATTGTCAGGCGAGACCTGCTCAGGCTGGAGATGGGGACACGACCAAAACAAACAAGTCCAACGTCCAGAACTACGGTATTGTTGAGTCCTTCAAAAAGTACACGGTCAACGATGACGGATCTGGCCCACCCCAGAGGGCATTGGTCAGGAAGACTACCCAGAAGATAAACGGCACCACCGCTACTCGCGACGATTCTCCTTCTTCGGTCTCTCCTGTCAGCGGCGGACATCTTGGACAGCTTCGCAGGTTTGTGGGCTATACTCGCGACTGCATCCCGAGCCGTTACTGGGGCGTCATGTGGCTGCTTTTGACGGAGTTCATTGCCTCAGTCATGGCTTTGATGACCCGTTACCTCGAGATTCAGAAAGAAGCCAGGCCTTTGCATCCGATGAACATCATCAGCTGGAGGATGACCGCTGCCTTTGTTGTATGCCTATTGATCGGCTGGTTGAAGAAGGTTCCACATTTCCCGCTTGGACGGAGGGACCTACGGGGACTCTTGTGTTTGAGAGGACTCGGTGGATTTGTGGGAGTCGTCGGCTTTTACCGTGCGTGCTTCCCTCCTCCTTCGCGATACTTATATTCTAATAGAGCAAAGACGCGCTTGAAGCCCTGCCACTTCCGGATGCCACTGTCATCTCGTTCCTTGTGCCTATCATCGTCGGAATTGCCTGTTCCTTGATCCCGGCGATCCGCGAGCCGTTCACCGGGGTCGAGAAGATTTCGGCCATCACGTCCTTCATCGGCGTCATGTTGATTGCTAGGCCTTCATTCCTCTTTCCGTGGAAGCACCAAGTGCCCAACGCCTCTGATTCTGCTAGAGCCATGGCTGTCCTTTCGGCCTTGCTTGGCGCCTGTGGTACTTCGACTGCGTATGTTACTCTTCGCTGGCTCAAAGACCAGACGGACACACTGATACCCGTCACGTACTTCATCGGTTTCGGAATGGTTGGCTCCATAATCTGTCTGGCCGCGATACCTTCTCTGCCTGGGTTTGTCTTGCCACATAATGCCCTCGAATGGGGGATGGCTGCTGCTCTCAGCATCGGCGGCTTCCTGATGCAGTGGGCCCTTACCCGCGGAATGCAGCTCACCAAAGGCTCCATTGGATCTCAACTGATTTCTGCCCAGCTTGTTTTTGCAGTTTTGTTGGAAATGTTAGTTTGGGGCGACCTGCCGACCAGCTACAGCCTCGTGGGAATACTTCTCATAGTCTGCAGCCTTACTGGAGTCAACCTCTGGAAGGACAGATCTGAGCACATTCCGAGGCCTGCAGACGGCACTCCGGACGAGCAGAGGGGACTCTTGCGGGAGGATCTCGAAAACAACCGCGATTGAATTCAATGGATGGGAGCCATGAAATTGGTAAGGGGTTCTGGCGTTTAACTGGTGTTCGGGAGGAAGGGTACAATGGTTTCTTCAAGATTTGTTGTACGAGATACGAAATAATACTATTGATACACCTTCTTCGTTTTCACGGCTTTTTTCAGTGATAGTAAACGGCTTAACTAACGCGTATTTTACCTTTCGTCGTTAAATGGCTGCCGGAGAAGAAGATAGCTTTGGCTCCTAATTCGGGTTGCTTCGCTGATTAGTGACGAACCGACGTGATATTTTGTGCTCCATATCCATGTCGAGATGTTGAAAGCTCGCTCACCAATTGCGTGACCGCCTTCAAAAGTCAAACATCCTCAACATAACCCAGGGAGATCAGCCTATTCGCTTCGGAATCAAGCAAAATTTACCGCCTTCCGAGATATCCGATTTCACAAAACCCGGGCGTAACGTGGGTTGCGGACACTTTTATGCCGCCGAAGCACCTCATGCTCCAGGAAGATTGCAGCATTGGAACATGATCCGGGGCCATGGCGACATAGAGATAGGGAAAAGCGAAGATGTGCTCGTGGGGTAACGCCTGGAGTTGGACAGCATATAACGGAGCCATGGTTGCCCGCAGACGCTGGAGGACAGACAGCTCTTGACACCTAGCTTTCGAAGCATACACATGAAATGGCACCATCTGTAGTCACGATCGGCAGTGTCACCCAAAAAACTGATGCACCCACTATTCAGGGTCCTTACAAGGACTTTGACCGCGGGTATCTCAACAAAACCAAGGAGCTCTCCGGCACGGAAAAGCACTCGCCCGCTTCGTACCCACACTATCTCCCTACGTTCGAGCTTACGGGACCGAAGGAAAACGGCGGGGTGTATGTTCCCTCACTCCCCCAGGCATGGAGAAGCTTACTGAGCTGTTATACCAGCTACTACCCCCTCGAAGAGTTCGAACACTACGACCACGGCCGCGACGCAGACCCTTCCTTCCCGCACCTGCTCCCGCAAGGGGTTGTACAGGTTGAGAACCTCACTCCCAAATTCGGCTCTGAGGTCCGCGGCGTGCAACTCTCCTCCCTCACCTCCGCGGGCAAAGACGAGCTTGCATTGTTTGTGGCGCAACGCGGGGTGGTAGCATTCCGGGACCAAGACTTTGCGGATCTGCCGATCCAGGAGGCGCTGGATTTTGGCGGCTACTTTGGGAGACACCATATTCACCCCGCCTCGGGCCAGCCCAAGGGATACCCTGAGATCCATCTGGTGCATAGGGGCGCCGAGGACCCTACGCTCAACAACATCTTTGAGACTAGAACTAGTAGTGTGGCGTGGCATTCGGACGTTACTTATGAGAAGCAGCCGCCAGGGACTAGTAGGTTTCTCCCGTCTCTTTGGGTGGGTTTGGCGGGGGTCTGATGACGGTGTGTAGCGTTCCTTTATATACTTGATACCCCCAAGGACGCGGACGGAAAGATCTCGGGCGGCGACACAGCGTTTGTGTCTATGGCGGAGGCGTATGAGCGCCTCTCCGAGCCGTTCCGTGAGCGCCTCAAGGGCTTGAGAGCCACGCACTCGGGCGTGGAACAGAGTGCGGCAGCGGCAGCACGCGGCAGCGTCGTCAGGCGGCTTCCGGTTATCAACGACCATCCTGTAGTCCGCACGCACCCAGTGACGGGTAAAAAGACGTTGTTTGTCAATCCGCAGTGTATGTCCCCCCCCCCCCCCTCCTTTCTCCCGGTAAACATAACGACTCACATATGCCGTTGTATAGTCACAAGGAGAATCATCGGATATAAATACGAAGAGAGCGACGCGCTCCTGAAGTTCTTGTATGATCACACCGCGTACGGAACAGACTTCCAGATCAGGGTCAAGTGGGCGCCCAAGACTGTCGTGGTGTGGGATAACCGCATTGCGATGCACTCGGCCCTGCTGGATTGGAATTCCGGCGGCAGGAGGCATTTGGCAAGAATTACCCCGCAGGCGGAGGTGCCGACTGAGAGCTGGGATTAGATATGGCATGAGGGAGAGGAACGTAGTTTGAAATGTGATATCCTGTGACGGATTTGGTACTCGAGTGATGGCCCGTGATGTGACATTTTGAACTTGTCATGGTGCGGCGCTTTGGTCCCGGAAGCGATATCGGCGCCAGCAAGATACAGTCATGCTATATAGTTGAAAGAATTCCCCATCGTCTGCTCCGCGGGTGCCGGGCAGTTGCTACTGGGGATCCGGAGCAGAGAGGGGTGGGGAAACAACTGCCTCACTTCAGGCCGGAGGGTGCTATTTACCCTCTGGCGCCGCACCACCACAGGTCTCCATCCTCCATACAGCCGATCACCTTATGGCCATTGGGAGGCCAACTCTGTTAGCCCATGGCGCGCCGTCAGATATCATTTGGTAGTTGTCCGTCTTAGGTACAATGCAATGATGGTACAGAAGCCCAGCCTATTGGAAAGAAACGATTAATAGGGATAAAAAAAAAAAGACAAAAAACAATTTCACAGCCCAAGCCAAGCAAGCTAGAACACCCAGGGGCCATCCGAGCCTGGCCAGGGCTCGGATATAAATTAGCCCCTCAACGTTGTGGTATTCTTTTTGCGCACTTGACCCGGGCTGTGAAAGCGGGCGCAAAGAGATTCGAACTCTTGCCTCTCCCATTGTCACACCGCTGCGTGGGCCGGGTTCTTTGTGGCGGTGGTACAATGTGAGCGCGCTACCGTTGCGCCATGCTCCCTTGATGTCTGGGAGTTGTGTTGTTGGACATATGTGCTGCCAGTGCGTTACACACGTTGAACGTTGCAGCCAATGGTACCTAGACTCCAGTTGAGTCTATCACAGGAATACTTCACACGTCGAGAGGCGATGTGGGAAGCCTGAACAGAGCGGGGGAGGATCTATTCAGAGGTTAGGGCTTGTCGGCTGAGTGTGGCCCAAAGGGCTGACTGAGGTCAGCGACGTCCTGGTCAAGAATTCGTCCGGTTCATGAACGAGCTCTTGGAGCTCAAAGCCAAGAGCATGGCCCTTGAGAAGGGCAAAAGGGACCTGGGGGAAGTCTGACAAGCTGTTCGAGGAGACTTTCTGGGCCGAGGGGAAAACTCGTGGTCCGATGGGGAAGACTTGCGCCGGAAGCTACTGATTTTCACCCTGGCTGAGCCTTGCGCAATCATTTCAGGACAGTGTGTCCTGTGATTGTGTTTTTTTTTTCCAAAAGCGCAGCTTGTCATTCAACATGCCATGTGTTTAGTTAGAAATGTTGGTCTAAGCTCAAACCGCCCGGGCCTTTCAAAGGCTAGTAGAACCATCCACTTGCGCGCGTGTCGATGAACCTCAAACACTGCTACGGATCGATCGTTCTAGACCTTCTGTTGGCCAGTACTCTTTTCAAAAAAGAACACTACAAAACTTTGTCTCATACAACCGCGGCAATAATCCCTTCCGACGCCCTAAACTTCACCTTTGCTCTTACATATCCAACCTTATAACTTGAAATAAAGTGGGCTACGTAATCCAGATCCGCCTCTCTGAAGAACATGATTCGTCAGTCAACTGCACATAAAGTCATTGACAGAGAAACTAACGTGGTCTCAAAGAGTTCGACCTCAAACAGGCGGAACAAGGTGCCCAAGGCCAAATAAAGCTCACACCAAGCAAGACTATCCGGCGTCAGCGAAGACCTCCCCTGGCACTGGTCATGAGCTTACCTGATTCGAAAACACTGTCTCGGGCCGCGCGAGAATGCCGAAAGGCACTTATCAGGCACTGCATCGGGCCCAAGCCAGCGCTCAGGATCGAAGACTGTCGGGTTCGGAAAGATCTTTGTCTCAGTGTGGAGAATCCCTGCCGCACAGGCGATTCCACAAATCTTCAACACCCAATTATGAGCAAATGGGGGCGGTTTTTGATATTGTCTCTCTATCAACGCGCATGTTTGGCATGGTGGTTGGCAGTACTGGTAAAATGGCTTTTTTTCGGAGGCTGTGGCTTTCCCCTGGGCGCCACAGCCACTTGACACTAAGCACTGCCACTCTGTATCAATACATGCCAAGAATACAACGTTACAATACGTCGGGCTTTGGCCTGGGCTGGATCGACGAAACATGTGGAAGATTCGTCTTCGTCGAAGGAGTGGTAGAGCCAAGGGCCTTTTGTGACACCTGATGCGGTGTTGTAGATAGTCGTGGCGGCTTCGTTACATCATTAGGTCTATATCTGACTACTGGGGCCTGCGTCGTTGCATGCATCAACTAACTAAACTAGTAGCCGGCGGCAATAAGCGCGCTAACCGTAACGCGTATGCAGCGCCTGTAACTGGAGTACCATCTTCCCGCCCTTCCACAGATTGTAATACTCGATATACCATGCGGCGGTTCTGGGGCCGGGGAAGTTCGCAAGGGGATGCAAAGGCGACACGCGATAGACTATCGTCACTATCCATAAGGTGAAATAGACGATCGCGGCTGTCGCTAAGAGTTGGCGGAAGTCAACTTCGAACGTCAACATGGTTGCGCTGGATTAACTATCGGGTTCCAACTCCATGGAAAGGCGGGGTTTAGATATCTATAAAACTTCTGCTAGGGCACATAGAGGCTTAGCGCCCATTTATCCGGGGAAAGTTTGTCCCGTATACATACTGCCTGAATTAATTTATGTTCAGTAAACAGCAATACCGCATATGTACATGTATGCAGCCGTTGATCTCAAACTTGACATCGCCTTCCACGAGGAAGGCGCAATGCGTAAGATTGTTTTCGGCAGTTGTATAATGCAAGGTTGCTTGAATTGGAGGAGATAAAGATTCGGTTGGAATAATGTTGTGCTGCGAACAATTCAGTACGCAGACGTTGTGCAACTCTGATATGAATGCCTGTCGGATTGACCCTCATGGCTAGCTACTGCTCATACACTGCTCTTGCACCATATTCCGTGGCGATGAGGTTTCTATGAGGAAAAGCTGGCTTGATGGGGACCAGGTACGTGGACGAGAGCTCATCGCCGAGTGTGTTGTCAGTAAATACTAGATATTCTATAGGTAGCTCGAGCCACCAACCTGGAAGGCTTCCATTCGCTCCAAAGACTTGGTTTCAGGGCGGACTGTTTTGTAAGCTTGAGATTATACTCCCGCCCGAACGGTTAGGGACCACTGCTGCATCGGTCCTGGCAAGGTCTCTGCAGCGCGAGTCGCACTCATCTTACTCTCGCAAACAAATTATGTGTACCACCCCGGCCCAAAGAAGGACTATCTACTCAGAAGTCTCGGAGAATTAAAGGGTGTTTAGCTAGTCGTATAGTTGAAAGCTTTGCTCTCTCGCAGTTGGCCGATGAAGCAATGTTTTTTGATTATATAGGGGAAAATTGCTTCGTAAAAACCCTTCCATGAAGTCTCGAAGGTTGAGGTGGCAGTGCAGTTGCACTGGTCAGAGTTTTTTGTCGAGTTGAAGTTGCTGCCGCTGCCGAGGAAGCAACCAGACGTCGCGGTGTCGAGTTGTTGCTGTAGTTAGGTCAGTTTGTATGTTGAGGTGAAGGCCCCAAAAAAGTACCGATAGGTTTAGCTGCTGTGACTTAGAGTCTAAGGGGACATAATTTTTGGTCTGACATCTTCGCGAAGTGGTGAGAAGGTATACGTTTTGGTTAGACCAAACAGTGCCAAGCCTTTCTTTTTGTGGCATTCGTTATCACTCGAACAGTAGCTATTATCATCATATGGAGTCGTGGATTCAAACGATTAGATTGCCTTGCGGTTGGCTCCCTCTTCAGGTGTTAAAGAGAGTCATGCCTTCTGTACTGTGCTGCCTCTGAAAACTATGAGAACAACAAATTCTCACAGCAGGCGCCTCAAAAGCCGTAGATACAGTGGAGGCCTAACATGAAATGCCAGTAATCACGAGACAATAAGTACATTAGGTAAGTATCTAGAGTAGAACTCCGAAGAGAGATAGAGCCTAGAATGGATCCGGAATCAATACCTTCCTTACAACTCCTGGGACTACGCGCTGAGCCGTTAAAGTGTAGCCGTCGGATGTAGGAAAAAATGAAATGAAATAAACAAAACCACGGAAGGGCTCGCCAAACGAAAACAATCAGAAATAACTCACTCCAAAAAGTAGAAGAGCAAATGGGCACGCAGGAGAAGGCACATGTAAGAGGTATAAAGGCAAAGGACGGGGCCAGCCATGTACTCGGCGATCTCCTGCACCACTGGCAACCAGCAGCCACATACAACCGTCCACACTACAACCACATCCTTACACAGCAATATTCGCACATACTACAGCCTTCGGGGGCCTCTGAACTGCCCACGACCATGAAATAGTATAGAGAACCTGAATTAGGTTCTACTCCAAACCCCTCGATACCGAAAGCACTGCAGCCTCGAACTTTACACCCAGTAGAGGTGTCCGCCAGGCTCCAGCCCAGTGGTCAGTGTAATGAGCTCATTGAATTTTCTAGCTTTGGGTCAGCAGCTAACTGACGGACCCACAATCCAGCTTTGACTGTCTAAGGGAACCGTTTCGCGTTCTTGTTTGCAACGGGACGCTTAATGGAGGAGGAGGAGGAGCAGCACCTAGCCCCCTCGGGCTCTAGCAGAGTAGCGAACAGCAATAGTGAAAGTGATGAGGAACTGGAAGCATATCTCGACTCGATCCTGGCCCCACCTCCCACGACGCCTCAGGATGGCTTGGAGCCTCCATCGAAAGGACTCGGTATCGATTTGCTGTCGTCTGAATCCCTAGTTTCGAACACCAGCAGTTGGATTGACCTCCCCCGCTTCGACGGCTCCTCTGGCTCGACCGTGAAACGGAAATATACATCCTCAGTCAGCTCGGCGCTGGGGGCGCAGCCCACAAACATTGAAGGGCCGCAGATCAGGACAGCAGAGGCATTGTTGAGCTTTCGTGGCATTGCGAAGCTGCGTGCCAATCGATCCAAAGCAAGGATTGTTGCTGGGGAGGAGTCGCCAGGGAAACGTTCCTGGAATTCATGGGGCCATTCTCCGCGGCGTTCTGCAAGGCCAAAACTGCGAATCGAGACCGCCAGTCCAAAGTCGAGCTCGCCATCATCATCATCGTCGTCCGCACCCTCACCGGAGACCTCTTCAGGGATCAATACACCGGCCGAGCGAAATTCTTCACCACAAGATGTTTCTCGAGTGGGCGTGAAAACTCCGGTTCCCATTGTGAAGTCGCCAGGAGAGTTGGCTAGTCCGGTCTCCGATGACGACCAGTCCTTCCAGCTTGCAGAAGAAGTTGTGTTAGTGCCAGTGCTAGAAGTACCTAGCAAAGGATCATCAGTCAAGACAGAACGTTCGCCAACGCCTTCTGAAGCACCAATTTCTACACTATCGGACGAGAGCGTTGTTCTATCGAATGGCCCGCATAATGGTCTGCAACAGTTCCTAGAGTTGAATCCTGTTACCTCGCCAGCTTTGGAATGCAACTGTGCGGCTACCGCCACTGAAGAAGTCGGCGCTGCTTCGGAATCTGACTTGGTGGCTGAGATGCACTCCTCGGTTCCCGTCGTGGAAGTCACAATTGAGCATCGCGACACACCTCCTGGCACTCCCGTGGAGACACCTTCTTCCTCGTCAAGGGCTCTCAACCATGAAGCCCAAGTGGAACTGGATACCTTAATGCGTCAGTTGATAGATGCCTTGATGGGTATTGGAAGGTTAGCGGCAAGACAGGAGAACCCGCGAGAGTTGGTTTTGGTGTTTGCGGTGGTCGGATATCGCCTCTG